AAAAAAAAAAAAAAAAAAAAAAAAAAAAAAAAAAAAAAAAAAATAGAATAGTCATAACTTACAAGTAATGAATTGTGTTTATAATGTGTCCTATAAAGGTACAGAAAAGATATGCATGTTCCCCAATCTGAAAGAGGAAGATTAAATCAACAGGCTACAGCAACCACTCTCTAGAAAATCAGGAAATTTCTTGAACCAAGCCAATCACTTAGATTGCATAGATGCCAAGAAAAGCCATCAATCCCACAAACAACTCTAAGATGCATCATAATATCCATTGCGTCTTACTATATGCAGTTGGCAAACATCACTTTGCTTACCAGCCCCCAAAAAATGGTTGAGCGTGGATTGAAAAACAAAGACCTCCGTGAGGATACTAAAAATCCACTTGACTTATCCTTACTGAAAGATCAAAGTGAAAAGAGAATAGTATCATTAATCTTATACCCTATGTTAGCATTGATATAATATCCTTGCAACTTTTGCATGTCTTTAGTATTGAATCAACCACAGATCAAAATAGAAAGGTGTCAACTATAGAAGAAATTTTCCTTTGGCAGGAGATAACTTCGACGGATCTGGCAGAAATAAGAGAAAACAGAAATGCAAGTACAGCCGAGAGATTAATCCCCTTCCAACTCGAAACATTCTAGAGAGTAAGCAAGAATAATATCATATATAGAAGCAAAATAAACCTTAGACCATTTGTGCATTTACTGAGAGATAGAATTGATATTACATCCAAATGACAAGAGTAGGACATAGCAGCACCGAGTGACAGATAGACATGAAAATGAGAAGAAAGTCCGGCAGGGTCTCCCAAAAGTGAATTATTTTACCACTAACAATCTTTAAGTACACAAGACAAATAATAATGCACCAAAGAGGACTTCTATGACTAACAATAAAAATAACAATATCATCAAAAGATTACTTACAGCATATGATTCAGACTCCCTCCAGACTGCACTGTAATCAATATCCTCCAAACAAGGAAGATGTAGGCGACCTAGCCCAGATTCACAAAATTTTACAAATAGTGAGTATCTGTCCACAGTGCTAGACTCCCTGCTTTTAGAATTCTGAATAGAAGAGTACTCATGGAAAAAGGCCACATTCTTCCGTGGTTCCCCTGCATAGAAAGGGCTTAAGAGCTTATTTTCTTAATAGGTGGCCTTGACAGTTAGGCTATTATATATGCACAGTTGCACTAAATGATGAAACCTACAACATCTTAGACTGGCCAAGAATATATAACACATCTTTTAAACAAGTAGACTGGGAAAAAAAACATAAGGGTAACAGTAATCCTTAAAATCCTATTCAATCAACTTTTACCAACTGGAAACCAAACAACGTACCATAATAAGTTTAGTCCTAAATTCTCATGAATAAGTTATTAAGAAATTAATACGAGATGTACCCTTTATGGTTTTACCTTGAAGCCCAATGAACTTCATCAATGGTATCCCTTTAAAGTACTCACCATATTCTGAAGGGCCCCTATAATGCAAATTAGACTCCAGGATCCTCTGATGCTGTTGGCGTCGTAAGGCTTTCCCTTGACGTCCTATTGTAGGGCTTTCTTGCAATATGTGTGGGTAATGTCTGAAAAGAACCTTCAGAATCACTGCAGGTTAGTGGGCTACTGCATTGACTAGGTATACATATAAAACCACCAGAAACCAATACTACAGGAAAAATGTTTCACTGTAAGGGCTTATAGATAAGCCCAAAGAAACCAATTAGTATAGTAGACCAAATAAACAGCATGTACCATCTGGAAAGCAGCACGGAATGCATGCAACTCAAAGTTGTGAAGCCCTGCGTGCTCATCCAAGCCTCTCCATCTATCAGCACTCTGATAAAGCAACTCAAGGTCAGAATACAATTATAATGAAAAGGTAGACAGCTTAGAAGATGCAACGAAATTGAACTGTGAATTGAAACAAGGTCTATCAACACGAGGCAACAAAAAATAGTATAATACCCATCTACCTGACAAGCTAGATCACGAGCATTTTTATCTAGCACTACTCCAGCAGATTTAACACCTTGGCTTACAGGAAAACCACAACAAGAATCCACCATGTCACTGGCTTCCTCAGAAAGCAAGTTATAACAGCAACCAACGCTAATCACCGCCTTAGCTTTGTCACATTCCAAGAATGTCCTTGATGAAAAGAAATCTTGAGTCAATTACACATCACACAAATATCAAAATGGGCAGGGACTACAATAACAATCTTGAATGATACCATAAAGTTAATTAAGAGGCATACAACAAACTTGCTGGGATGATAAGTACAAGATATTAGTAAGAATTGTTTACATAAAGCTTCTCAAAACATAATACCTAATATAATAAAAACATAAAACCCAATTTAACGCCTTCGAATGACTAAGAGAAAAGATATGCGATGCCCCTCTATTGTCCATAGTATTTAACGCAGCAAAAAGCGCAAGTCAATTTCCACAAACCAATCAGGTAATGGAATAGAACATGAGACTTAGAAAGGGGCACAATTATACAATATGATACCCACCTCAGCATTGTCACCGAGAGGTCTCCACAGGCATGAAGTCCAGCAATAACTAATGAAGAATCACTATAGGATAGAGAAGGCAGTATATTCTCAGCAAGCCGAGAGAGCTGAGAGCCCGAACATTTTTGGCTCAAATGTTGATTCGCTGCATCATCATTCTCTTCTAGGAAGTTACTTAAGGTCTTCAATGTGTCAGAAGACAGCACCCGGCATGTAACTGTCTTTGGCATGCTAATCTCTCTAAGTTCGGAGCTGATAAAATGGAAATGGATTACAAACAAGCGTTCTGAAAGAGGAAAATCATCCAATAATGACAAAATATTGATGCTAAGTAAATGTAACCATGAATCAGATTGATGTAGAGCATTGAAGCAGATGCATACATTTTTGGATAACAGGAGAACAAATACTGCCAAATTTCTACAATAAATCTGATATTCTTGAACACTCCAAGCAGTGCAACTAATATAAAATATTTCATCTGCTACTGCTCATTAATTGCTTTGGAAAAGCTAAGACAGCAATATTAGACTAACCTGCATATTTTTATAGTCTGAAATTAACGTAAATAATGAGGCAGTGGTGATTTCTGCTCTCTACTGTTATTATTTGTCTAAAGTTGACCAATAACTCAAGTTGCAGCAGTTCAAAAAGTTTATTATTCTTTTTTCTTTTTTTCTTTGATAAGGTAAGGCGGTTCAAAAAGTTTTTGTCCCTCGTCACAATGCAAGAAACTTAACTTTATTCAGTCCCGATTTATATCTTGTGAATCAAAACATATAACAAGCCAGATGTAGTCCTCAACTTTCAATTACAGCCAAAGTATTCACATCCCTTATTTTTTGTGATAGGTAATGCGAGAATTTTATTGAGGTATGCCAGCTAAATGCTGGAGTAAGTACATACAAAAGAGGGAACTTTACGGAGCCTGTAAAGAGCAAAGAAAATCTATCATGGCAACAGGATCTAAAACATTGGTAGTGACCATCCTACACCAAAAGCAAAATTATATATTTGTGTTTTAGGTTCAAAATATTGTCCTTGTCTTCAAAAATTCTAGTGTTCTTTTCCTTACAAATGACCCACCATACAACCGCAGGATGCTGTTCCAGACTTTGCTTGAAGATTTTAACATGCCCCTTTTTTGCCAGGCAAAAAGGAAGTCCAATGTATTCACAGTCCATATTTTTGTATTATATAGGATTAATTTTAAAGGAGCTCATAAAAAGATGTCGCTAGCATAAGGAAGACTCTACCTACCCATTTTTACGCATCTTAGCTGCATAGTGCTTCCTGATTCGCTCCGCACGTGCATCAGTAATCTTACCATGATGTGAACAAGCATCAATGGCAATTACAGAAAGCTGGTACTCAAAGGCAAGCACTTGAGCAAGATAACCCTACACCACATGAACAATCTAAGTAGAAACAGACAACAGGAAAACCAGATAATCCAGATAATTATTTCTCCCGTGTTTAGAATTTCTATAATTTTAATTTTATTTTATAAATAATGGATAGAGATGAGCTTAAATGGAGCAACACGAACAGGAACCATTCGTATGGCTGAGCCAACTTGCTTGGGATTGAGGTGTAGTTGTTGTATTTAGAATTACTAGAAGAAGTTTTAGACTTTTTTCAAGTGCATCAGAAATCATTGCACCGCAAGGTTGTCTGGTGGTTAATCTATTAGCCTAGTGTAGAAAAGCAAGAATATATTTAACTAGCATCAGCTACAACCTCGCAAAAAAGTCCTTATCCTGTAGATTCTACCTATGTACTGACTCATTCTACAAAACAAATTAAGATAACACATGAATTTGTAAGTCATAATCCTAATATGTAAATATATACACACACACACATGCGTATCAACACCAGAATATGTGTGAATTGCACAGGAACAAGCCTCGTCATCGAACAAAGCAGAAGGGGACACACCTGTCCAGCACCAACATCAACAACTGTCTGTGCTCCAACTTGCTTTGCAACTAAACCGACCAGGGCAGCAAGGGCTTCTACCTGCTTAAACAATATTATATCATTCTAGCGTTCCGGTTGAGAAAATCAAACCCATAGAAGGCATCTGCTATAGTTGCTCTTTCGAACATAGGCTCGATATTAGGAAATGGTTCGCAATCAGAAAACAACTTTCTTTAATCTTTCAATCCATTTTGTAAGACTTTCTGGAAATTATTTATGTTCTTTCATTCAGGTTGAGAAAACAAAACCATAAAGAGAATATGCTTAGAAGCTCCTCTAGCAAATGAATTCAACATCAGAAAAAAGTTTTTTGCAATCACAACTTAGAGTAGATCATAGGTAGCAAGATAGCTTGCTGTAAAAAAAATATTAAAAAAAAAGATTCGGCTTTCATGGCCTTATATCAGTAAGTAGTCATCTAAATTGGTTTACCAAACTTGAACTTCTACAAATTTGAAACTTGAAAGCAAAAAGGATAAACAATGCTCAACAGATTTGTAGTCAGCCAAATTGAGCACAAAGAGAGGTCAGTAAAAGAGGACTAAGCAAATAATTCCATGCCTTACTTCATGCTTTTTCTTATGATTCATGCCTTGAGCTAAAACATTACTTAGTGAAGCTATGTGCATTCCTGAAAATTCCTGCAAGCAAACAGAAGCATTAGTAAAATTCAATACCTGATACCTGACTGCCTTATAACATGGTCTAGGATGTTTAATAAGGAAGTAACCGAAGAAAAAGAGCAGGCAAGGTATCACAATCTCCAGCTAAGTTGCTCGGACTCGGGTGCGGGAGTCCGATACGGGTGCGGATCTAGAGGTCAGATCCTTCATGATCTAAATTTAAAGATTCGGGGGTACAGATCCAGATACGGGTGCGGGAATTCGGCTAAAAATAATTCAATTATTTAAAAATAGAGTTATAAAAATATGTCTAAATTATGAGACATTATGTGAAAAACTTACAAGGTATTCCGAGAAGGAGAAAATATTGAACAAGAGTAGAATTTTAGGAGGAGATAAAAGGAAAAGGACTGACATAGAAATTTATATATACAAGGTATTCCACTTTCTTCCATATCACCCTAGCTTTTGATTTGTTTTCAAAAATCATTGTATCTGTCCCAAATTTCTCCGTTGATTTTGGTCAAAGTACCCAAAATCGGTTGACCAGATCCGACACGGATCCCACACCCACACCCACGTCGTGTCGATACGGGTGCGGCACTGAAAGTGAAGAATCCGAGCAACTTAGATCTCCAGAAAGGGCATGAAACTACTCAATGGCAGAGGCCATCTAGCACCTTTCAAGATCTCATTCAACTTCAGACGGAATTATGCAAAATGAACTAGGCACAACAGTGGGCAAAACATACTTAGTATATAGAGTATAGATACCATAACCCATAACAAACAACGCAAGAAATGCCAGTAGTGTAAAATCTTCTAATATGGGAAAAGCATAAGAAACAACAATGGGATTAAATAAGGAGACAAGGCCATACCATAATGCTAATTCTACAACCACTATGAATGAAAAGAAAAATAAATATACCTGCAAATCTGTCTTTTCACGTGGAAGAGAAAGAGACCTCAGAGTAAGGATGAATTCCTTAAGTGAAACAGGCCAGTGACCCTAGAAACATAAGAAGAAAGTCAATTTAACAAAGAAATATAGGTTTTGTTACAGTTATGGATACTAGTTAGTTGGTAGATGATAAAGTTGCTCTTTTTCTTCTTCTTTTTTCCTTTTTTTTTCCGCTAGGTCATAGGTGACACTAAACAGAAGCACTGAAAATGTTGATATATAAAAGATGGACAAATTTACATACTCTCCTTCCAGAACTGAAGGTATTAACCATGTCTCCCACTCACTACTTTTATACCTTTTCATCATCTGTCTTTCCAACCTGTTCCACTTTTCCAAGTTCTCGTTCTTCCTCAATGAGTAAATGTATTCTATAGGTGTATATCTTAGTGGGAAAAAATAACTGCTTCCCTCACTCCCCCGGAAGGAAGATTTGTTAAACGGCCAATATCAGATTCTCATTAAGGACCAAAATGAAGAAAAAGAAAGTTATGGCTACAAAATTGCAGGAACTTACCATATATGAAAACATTAACAATGGGAAGCAGCCAGATGCATCTTAACTCAGACTTAAGACAAACTTACAGTGACATCTAAAGCAAAAGAAATTAACAAATCCGCACAACAAAAAGAATAGATACCACACTAAAACTGTTATGGATATGTTTATCTAAATTACATTTGGTATTAAGTGGCCAATACTCAACAGCAACGGCGACTATGCGTCAATCCCAAACTAGCTGGCGTCAGCTATATGAATCCCCACTACCCATATGGCTCCTCCATTTGGACCGTAGGAGTCAAGCCAATGGAAATTTACCATTTTTTGTCACTTGTTACATTCAATATAAGTTACACTATATGAAAATGAAGCAGTTGTAGGGAGTAGCATTTTATGTCCCCAGAAGTGTACATGGGAGTTGGGTCGGTTATTTACTTATCAGTTATGGATCAACAACAACAACAAACCCAGTGAATTCTCACAAGTGGGGTGTGGGGAGGGTAAGATGTACGTAGCCTTACCCCTACCCTGGAAGGGCAAAGAGGCTATTTCCAATAGACCCTCGGCTAAAAAAAGGATGAAGGGAAGTGAAGCAGTAAGTATTAACAGCAACAGGAGAAAAGAAGAAAACCGAAGCCAAAACAACAATTATACGCTAGGTAGTAATGACAATCTAAGAATAAAAGACAACATGCTAATACTAATGCTATCGAACAATTATACGCTATGTAGTAAAACCAATCTAAGAATAAAAGACAACATGCTAATACTAAAGCTATCGAACTGAGAGTACAGGGGGAAACGCTCGACTACATACTAGCCTACTACCCTAATTATCGACCTCCACACCCTTCTATCAAGGGCCATGTCCCCAGTCAGCTCCAGCAGTGCCATGTCCCGTCTAATCACCTCTCCCCACGACTTCTTTGATCTACCTCTACCCCTCCTCATACTCCCTAAGGCTAACCTCTCACACCTCCTAACCGGGGCTTCTGTGCTTCTCCTCTTAACATGCCCGAACCATCTCAGCCTCACCTCCCACATCTTATCCTCCACGGAGGCCACACTCACCTTATCCAGAATGACTTCATTCCTAATCTTATCAAATCTAGTATGCCCATACATCTATCTCAACATTCTCATCTCCGCTACTTTCATCTTATGGACATGCGAGTGCTTTACCGGCCAACACTCTACCCCATACAACATAGTCGGTCTAACCACTCCTTTGTAGAACTTACCTTTAAGTTTCACTAGTACACTCTTATCACACAACACACCGGAAGCTAGCCTCCCCTTCATCCACCCTGCTCCGATAATATGCATAATATCCTCGTCAATCTCCCCATCACCTTGTATTATTGACCCAAGGTACTTGAAACTACCTCTCCTGGGGATAACTTGTGTATCAAGCCTCACATCTATGTTCGCTTCATGGGTAACGTCGTTGAACTTGCACTCCAAATATTATGTCTTAGTCCTGCTCAACTTGAAACATTTAGACTCGAGTCTGTCTCCAAATCTCCAATATCTCGTTAATACCACCTCGCGTCTCGTCAATCAGAACTATATCATTTGCAAATAACAAACACCATGGCACCTACCCTTAATGTGTTGCGTCAATGCGTCCATCGCCAAGGAAAATAAAAACGGGCTAAGGGTTGATCCCTGATGCAACCCTATCTCAACCGGAAAGTGACCTGAGTTTCCTCTAGTTGTCCTCACCCGTGTCTTAACTCTATGTCTTAGCACCATCATACATGTCTTTAATCACCCTAATATATGCGACATGCACACCTTTAGCCTCCAAACACCTTCATAGTACTTCTCTCGGGACCTTGTCGTATGCTTTCTCTAAATCAATGAACACCATATGCAAGTCATTCTTCATCATCCTATACTTCTCTACCAATCTTCTCACCAGATGGATGGCTTCCGTAGTCGAACGACCCGGCATAAAACCGAACTGGTTCTCTGAAATAGACACATTTCTCCTCACCCTCCTTTCTACTACCCTCTCCCAAACTTTTATCGTATGGCTTAGCAGTTTGATACCCCTATAGTTGTTACAATTCTGAATATCACCCTTGTTCTTATACAACGGAACCATTGTACTCTACCTCCACTCTTCAAGCATCTTCTTCGTCCTAAAAATAACGTTAAACAACCTAGAGAGTCATTCCAAGCCTGCCTTACCCACACTCTTCCAAAATTCTACAAAATCACTGCCCGATCGCTCTACCCCTGCTCATCATTCGCATTACCCCCTCGGCCTCCTCTACTCTAATGCGCCTACCGTACCCAAAATTCCGATGACTTCCGGAGTGCTCCAAATCACCCAGCGCAATGTTCCTATCTTCCCCTTCATTCAGAAATTTATGGAAGTATGACTGCCATCTTTGCTTAATCTGTGCCTTATCCATCAAAACTCCACCCTCCTCATCTTTTATACACCTCACTTGATCCAGGTCACGGGCCTTTCTTTCTCTCACTTTGGCCAGCCTGTACAGCTTCTTATCCCCGCCTTTCTCCCCAAGCTCTTCATACAGACATTCAAATGTTGAGGTTTTAGCCGCAATAACCGCTAACTTCGCCTCCTTTCTAGCCTCCTTATACCACTCCCTATTGGCCCTCTTCTCCGCCTCACATATGCTTTCTATTAGCTTCACATATGCCGCTTTCTTGGCTTCCACTTTTCCTTGGCCCTCTTCTCTGCCTCATCTATGCTTTTTATTAGCTTCACATATGTCGCTTTCTTTGCTTCCACTTTTTCTTGGACCTCTACGTTCCACCACCAGCTCCTCTGTGGCCAGCAGAGAAGCCCTTCCAGACCCCTAACACCTCTCTCGCAACTTCTCCAATACAGCTCGCTGTCATAGTCCACATACAACTCGCGTCCCTACTACTCCTCCAAGCCCTCATTACCAGTAACTTCTCCCCCAACTCCTGAACTTTGTCCTTAGTCAATGCACTCCACCTGATCCTAGGTAGACCATACACTACCTTTTTTTTCCTTGTACGCATGATCGCCAAATTCATAACCAATAGCCTATGTTGCGTCGTGAGATTCTCACTTGGGATGACCTCACAATCCGTGCATAAACCTCTATCACACTTCCTAAGCAGGATGTAATCAATTTGGGTTTTGGCCACCGTACTCTGAAAAGTGATCAGGTGCTCCTCTTCTTTGGAAAACACGAGTTAGCAATCACCAAATCAAAGGCTTTAGCACACTCCAACACCGATGTACCTCCTATGTTTGTCTCCAAAACCAAAGCTGCCACGCACCCCGTCGTAACCCCCAGACGACGTCTCAATGTGGCCATTGAAATCTCCTCCTATGATAAGCTTCTCGGTGTGCGAAGTTCCCCGCACCAACCCATCCAAGTCCTCCCAAAAACGTCTTTTAACCTCCTCGTCCAAACCCATTTGAGGCGCTCAAGCAATAATAATGTTCAAAATAAGCCCTCCCACAACTATCTTAATAGCCATCAGCCTGTCCTTCACCCTCCTAACCTCTACCACTAGCTCTCTGTGTTCCCTATCAACTAGGATGCCTACCTCATTCTCCCCCCC